TTCAGATTTTAGCATTAAACAGAATTGAATAATCAACACCAGTTATCGGGTCTATCTCTCCGTCAAATGACGATTGTTTTCTGATTTGGAAATGTTACCAGCTACTAAAAAAACATGCACCACTCCCAGCTCTAACTTTAGATAAAACTTATGTGATCTCAGACCAACAATTTTATCTTGGAAAACTGGACGTACAAACCAGTCAATAAAACTCAACACCGGGGACATGATGCAAACACCACGAGGCGTGTGACTCAACATCAGGGTGTAACAATATCAGGACAAATGTGACATCAAAGACGACGGTTATCAGAGAGTGTACTTTCACTTCTACAACGTCAAACTGACACGAGTGAGAGAGAGAGATTAAGGTGTACTGGAGCGCCTACAATATGAGTTCATTGTTTTAAAGAGATCACACTAAAGTTTTTATTTTTTATTTAATTAATCATGCTATAGATAGCAGCTATGTTTTTAGTAAGGTTAATAATTTGTTTTCGTTATCATAATTCTGTTTTCTTTCCTCTAAGGGTCATTGTAACTGCATGAAATACTAAAAAAAAAAATATTAAAAAAGAAATATACAAATAAATAAATATTTAAAAAGAAAATAAATAATAATAATAATAATAATAATAATAATAATAATAATGTTAAACCGTGAACTGTGAAACCAGTATATTTTCTGATTCATTTTATTTCAACAAATTCGTTGGATGCTATTGTTTTTTAAAATTATTATAATGTTATTGTCATTCCTTTAACTGGTAAACACACAGTTTTGTGGTTAAATGCTACTTTTTATAGGGTTTATAATTTTTTTAAACCATTATTATTCGGTACTTATTCCTTTTATCCTAACTGAAAATCATAATAATAGTAAAAGTAATAATAACAATAATAATAATAATGTAAAACCGTATACCGTGATACTCTGTCATATTTTCTGAAATATGACAATGAAAATCCCGTAAGGTTACGCCCCTACTCAACACCAAAGCATCTCTCTGCTAATAACACTTTAATCTGAGGAGCTCAGCAGCACACTGCTTCGTTATACTTCTTCCTATGGAACCACATGATCCTTTGTCTTTACGCCGTCTCAGCTTTACCAAGCTCAACGGTTTATGTGATTTACATTGTGACTGACTGTCGAGAACAGACTTCTGTTGTAAGGGCACAAAACTTACATAAGAGTTTCAACTCACAAAAACTCAAATGTACTTTCATACAATGACTATCCTCATCAGACACTTGAAAGAAAAACAATTGTGGAATAATTTATATCTCGAGTAGGAGTAGTTTGTTTTGAGAATCTTAAGCAACTGTGTTGGCATTCTGGGCATTTTTCACCCTTAAAGCATATCCTATCTATACATCTATATATTAAAATGAACTTATATGGACGTTAAAATCTAGAAGTTTATTTTCAGATCTCATTGTCTGACCCCACTGAAGAGACTTTTGTTTGTAAAAAGAGCTTAAATAAAGTACCCAGAGTAGTTATTGATTTATAAACATATTGGAAAGACAGGTTGTTTTAGGCATCTACCTCATCTCTGCACAACCTGTTAACCTAGCAGGTTTGATATCATTTCTTTATCTGTCCAATCATACTGGTGGTAATACAACATACTAACTACTCACTTCTTATTTTTGTTTTGAATAATACAAATGCATCTTTCTTCGCAGACAAATGTTACCGAACAGTTTGTGTTAAGAATAGCAAAGTGGCTATTTTACTAGAACAACCCGGGCTGCTGCTATCGCTTAGCATTTATACCAAGTGAGCTACCAGAACGCACAAAATATTGTATTGTTTTATTAGAAAAATGATTATTATTTACCAACTTCTGTGCATTTTGGGCAGCAGCAGACACCATGCTCATATCTAGCCTGCCTTTATTGGGAGAAACGTTCCTTGTTTAGGTTAGCTTGTACAAAATGTGCTAATGTAAACTGAGACATTGACATGCATGCGTTATTGTAAACACATGCACATAGATGCAGAAAAAGCGCATGATGCAAACCTTCCCTCTCTTAAATGAATAGATGGAATATATTCTGAGGCAGCAGAGCAGGAACATTTGTCCTTTCTAAAACATTTACTCTAGATACTTTAGATACCGTGCTGCTGCCTAGCATCAACTGTGCCTGACACTCGGCGCAGAAACCTGCCCGCTCTGCTCTTATATGGATATCGATGAGCACAGAGCCCAGTGCTGAGGAGAGACACTTAGGACGTTCTGTAACTATTAGACAGACCAGGAGGGAGGGAGGGGAAGGAGAGAGAGAGAGAGAGTGAAGGAGGGGGAAGAGGAGGCTTTCATGCCACAAATGGTTACTTTGGCTTCTTACATCTTCCAGGAACATCTCCACACTATGTAACATGATGAGGTAACTTAAGGTAACTCACAAGCAGACAACAGAGTCACAACAATATGTGTCTTTGGTCATGGATGTGATTATTTCCCGTGTTACAGAAGGTACCTTAGCACATTGAGAAATTAAGATGTAAATATGAATAGGAATACTATGGTAAATCCACCCATGTGTCATTCGCAGTAAACCTAAAGTAGATCATCATATAAGAAGAATTGATTTAAAGGTTAACCACATCATTAAAACCTATTTCATCACATCATAATTACAAAACTAGGTTGGTGAAAGCTGAATGAAATATATGTTTTAGTAAAGTTACCAGTGTAAATCTGCTTTGAGTGTAAGGGCACTTTAGACAGCAACTTCATCACGGTAAAAGTCATATAGTTCCTTCTCATACTGTCTTCTAAACATATAAAATGAATTAAACGTGCAGTACCCATTCACTGTTTGTAAACTATATGGTATATACCCAAGCACCTTTTTTGACTTATACTCTTGCAGTATTACACGTGTGTGCTCATATGAATCCTGCTGAAACCACATTACTTTGAGTGTGTTAGTTGTTTTTCAAAATAAAGTGGCTTTTATCAATAAAACACTACAGCTACTACCAATGACTGCTCAGCGTGATTGTTTCCATAAACATAACGTGGCACATATGTGGCAATGAACTGCCTAGATCACACGACTCATAGGAGAATGGACATAGTGGCCATAATCACAAGATGATTCAAGACACATGTAACCCAAAGAGCTGTCAGAGGCCTCATGACAACTCTCTGACATCTGACATGCTATGTACTGACATACCAGCAGACAGCAAGTGGCTAAGTACACGCTACAAGGTAACGTGTGCATGAGACGACATTCAACATGTCACACACCTCTTGAATATGAATCAGAGAGAAGGTTTGTGTGCTAGAGTCAATTTCTTCATACCGTTCACCAGTACAATCACCCATGAATTGGACTTTGCTGTTCACAACAAATACACCTTGCCTCTGCATCCTGCAACCACCCACAACAAGAAAAAAGGGGTAATATGTCACTATAACCTCGACTAAAAACGCAAGAATCTGGACTTGTTTTCTAAGGGTAAGGCATAACTGAAACTACGTGAGAGCGTTTAATCCTGAGGTCCAACCAAGAAGCTATGAAGTTCAAACACAAAAGACAAAGCAAAGCATGTATGCATTTATACGCAGGTCTAAAACCACCAGACTCAGGGACAGTTTCATACCACAGGCCATAAGACTGTTAAACACCTGAACTTTTGAAAGAACATCAATAACATCCATCTGTTTGCAACTATTCCAATGACTTGTATATAGACTATTCTGCACTATTTCTATTATATTCTATTTTATTTACTTGTATTGTGTTGCACTGTTGGAGGAGCCTGTGACCTAAGAATTTCATTGTCATAACTACACTGTAGCTATGTACACATGACAACAAAAGCCTTGAAATCTTGAATCTTGAAATCTTGAATGCGTGTTAAAGTATTTTAGCAAAGTGTAGGCCCTTAACAAGTAGATGCTTGTAGCTGTGTGATTGTACAAATGTGTCTTCAACATTTGGAGATGTTTGCCGATCTGTGTATGTAATATCCAGGGGAGAGGGTCTAGCATGGGGCCGGCCTGTAAACCTGTCTGCTCATTCTGACGGGCCGAGCAGGTGCGGCCCACCAAGCAACTGCCAAACCGAGAGTCACGCACACACACACATACTACACACATACACACATACACACACACTCTATAAAAACAAAAGTGTGGAGAAATGACGCCCGGCCGGTGTTGGAACAACACTGCACCCAAACACACCAAGCCGATATATCAGCTGTACACACATACCACCATACGGCCATAATCTGGAGGTTGGAATGCTAATACCCCCATGAGGTTACATGAGACGGCTCAGAGCAGCAAGAGGGAGGCTGGGTTGGGAAACTGCTCTCAGGTCTCAGTTGAGAAAATTAAATTAGACAATAGTCACGCAATGTTACGTATTGGCACCAAAGATTGTGTCCGCTATTGTTCATTTGGCAAAAAAGTGACAATGAAGGAGTTTACCAATATTAAAGAAACTGGCTGCCAAACTTAACATAACTTATTAAGCAGAAATATGATTATTTGAAGAAGTTTGTAAGTAAAATTATTCCGATTTTTTTTCTGACTGGGATTCGAAGTGATATTTTCAACCTACTGTTCAGTGTGTGGAACCTATGTTTGATGGTTATCAAATGTAATATGCTGTTTACTTTAACAACAACATTTGAAAAGAGAAAATAAACAATGACAATCAAACTAACAGAAAGCTTATTAATCAGCTAAATTAGCATTTTAGCTGTAAGGCAAATACTTTGCATTTCAATCTCCTGTTACTATTACACTATTCAGAATATTTTATATTTAAGCGATTTGAAACATAATATAGCACATAAGTACATTAAATATAGTAAAATAAAAGCTAAACATTGTACAATTTACAACTGCACAAAACTGAATGATGAATGGTTCATAGATAGAACACATATCTGCCTACACACGGATTGTATATATATATATATCAAAGCATGCAGGAGAAGTAGAAACATATTAAACAATACTCACAATGCTTTAGCTCCAATACTAAAGGACTGAGAGAAATTCCAATCATCCAGGCAGTTGAATTCGGGGGTTTGAAACCACCAAACAGAGGGTCTCACTAGTTCCTTATTGAGAGCAGAGCAGGGGCTGAGGAGGCGGGAGGCGCAGGTGTGAGCAGGTAAACCGAAACAGAGGATCCAAAGTCATCCACCATGAAGCGGGTCCAATCTCAGCAGCTGACAAATATAGCCAGGTGCTTTCCCACCAGCTCTGCTGCACCGGGAAAAATAAATCAGTCCAGGATCAGCAGAGCAAAGAGGGAAGAGAAGAAGGGAGAGGGGAGTGGGGTATGCAGGAGAGAGGTGAAGGAGAGGGACAAGGATGAAGCTGCGAAAAAACACTCAAGACTGGTGCTAGAACAGACTCCAACAATAAGTGGTTCTTATAACTATTCCAAAAGATTAAGAAAGGGCGGTGTCCATACTTGTAAACCAGGTTTGTGATCCTGGTCTGATACTTGGACTGACGGTGAGAGGTGAAACAACACTGCTTCCAAGGGGTTTGAAGAGTGCGGGCCAAAATCGGCGTGGTAACCTCATCCCACAGCAACCATGTATGGGCTGAAGAGAGCGGCCTCAATACACGGGCATCTGCCATAAATAGCCAGGAAGCGTCGGGCTCACAGTGCAGGGGGATCGAATCAGCTGTTAAAGTACAATCCAGCAGCACAGTGAGGGCCAGGCTCTGCAGGGGCTCCCGTGCTTCAACACCGGGGTCTTTGCTGCTGGAATAAAGTTCATTTTGCTTTGATTAATGCATGGTTTCTCTACACATTTGCATTATTATTTGCATTGTTTATTTTTACATTAATTTAAGCCAACAACAACAATTTCTCACTAAAGGACAGTTGTGAGATGCACACAGGATGTAAATATTTATGAGAAGTTAGGCAACTTTTGTTCACCTCCAAAAATGGAAATGAAAGTAACAAAAGATTGCATTTTATTTCACAAAGTAAATGGACTACAAAAATAAAAACAATTGAAGACGTGGTAAACAAAGTAAACAAAATACTTTTAATTTGAGAGAAAAATGGCAGCATGTTGGAATAAAAAAAATTTACCAATTAGTTTGGCAGGGTACCTTAGGGAATTATAGTCAGTGTAAATATAGGCTGTTTATAGAGTGAACTTTAGGTGCGAATAATGACTATGTGTGAAAGTGACAAGATGTATGCTATATATAAATAGACTACGATAAACAGGTAAAGGCCTTCAGATCTTCTGGTGTGGAAGAAGCAGTCCATTTAGGGTTTTTGGTGTTTTTATTGTTGTATATTTATAGTTTGGCTCCATCTTGTGGACAAAAGAGGGACATAATAGTATAATTTGGGTGTTTTAATAAACTACAAGTGTATAAAACAAACCCATTTAAATACAATTTAAATGCAAATAAGTAATCTACTCCTTTCCGTGTACTCGCACCCAGTATTGGGGTGTGGTACAGTCAAGAATACATTCTGTATGTAGGAATGAAAGCAACTGTCACTGACTGTGCCATTAATGGAGTTACGTATTCCCCAAGCAACAGAGGCGGGCATGCTTCACAGTGCTCAACAAGTGTAAAGTAATGACAGATATGTAGTTTACTTACAATGGTATGGCTTGGAGACTGAGACAGCTGTGATGGAGGGACAGCTGGAGATTAATGGCAGTGACGTCTGAGGAACAGTGGAAGTGGTTGAAAAAAAAACAACGAAGGAAAAAAGGTTGTGAATTAATAATCTGAAAACACAGACAATTACATCATCTCATATGTGACGAGGGTATTTTAACACTGCTTCAGATTCATTGACAAACATAACATATTAAAGGGGTTGATATTTTACAAAGAAAATCAAACTAAACACCATTGGCTAAACATTGGGAGTTTAACATGGGGGCAGAGCAGTATACGCAGTGATGGGAAAAGTATTCAGATTCTTTACTTGAGTAAAAGTAATAATACAACACTGTACAAATACTCAAATTCAAGTAAAAGCACTGCATCAAGATTGGGTCAAAGTATGTAATTATGATTAGGTCGGAGCATTACATACACTAGGCCTACTATTACATGCGATACATTCCACCTTCTGCGGACGCGGAGGCGGCTGTTGACGTCATTCACTCCTCTGTGGCCAAACTCCAAACTCTTCACCCAAATGCATTCATCACCATCACTGGGGATTTTAATCATGCTAAACTGGACAAATCTCTGCCAACATTCACACAGTATGTGTAGGGGCAATAATACACTGGATATGTTATATGCTAATACCAAGGATGCATATTGTGCCACTGCCCTCCCCCCCTGGGCAGATCAGACCACAACCTCGTCTTTTTGGCACCTAAAGCCCCGGCCACACGAGGACCATAACGATAACGGACAGCAATCGTTATCAAAAAAGTCTTCCGTCCACACGCAACAGGCACCAGAAATGTGTCCGTTCACACGAGACCACTCGAAAGCGCTGGAGACGCTGTAGTACATATGCCAGGCCTGTAAGTGGCGCTGTACTCCTACCACAAAAGCAGCGAAGAAGACTTCCCGCGCATGGTTGCCATGGTTGCCCTTCTGTTTATTCTCCGCTGTGGACGCTCTGGCTCTTTTTCTCCCTCCCCGAGGCAAGCGTTTGCTCCTGTTGTATATCTCTCCGGTAGTCCACCAGCAGATGAAAAACACCCACCTCTCCGCCTCTTCCAAGGGACGAGGGGACCGTGCAGCAGAGTTTCAGTTAGATTTTTTTTCGCTGGTCAACATGTCCGTTAAAGTTTAAATCTTCCCGACAAAATTAGAAAAGTGCCGGTCAGAGGTCTTCTTTGTTATTTATTTAGCTTTAAAACAAATTAATAACGACTCTATATAATAATATAAGAATAAAAAAACGGAGCCTCTCTTTTCCTCCCCCTCTTCTGACAGCCCAGCAGCTGATCTCTGAGCAGGAGAGGTGGGGCGAGGCAGGGCTATTGCGTCATCGTTATCAGGAGATGATCGTATATGCGTAAACACGGAGCCGTTTGCCCCCCCCAGATCGTTTCGTTTGCAGATCTACCCACCTAGGGACCCGTTATCGTTATCGTTTTCTGCGTTTCCGTGTCGGCCTCGTGTGGCCGAACCGTCTATCTGATAGAGAACTGTAGCAGATACGACCGTTATCGTCCTCGTGTGGCCGGGGCTTCAATATGTCCCTCTGGTTCAGAGGCAGCCTGTATCCACCAGGACTGTGAGGAAGTGGACTCCGGAGGCCAATGAGGCTCTACTACAGGACTGCTTCGAGACCACTGACTGGGACGTGCTTTGTGTGCCACATGGAGAGGACATTAACAACATGACTGACTGCATCACAGAATACATCAACTTCTGTGAGCAAACAACATTACCGGCTAAAACTGTCAACTGTTTCCCCAACAATAAACCCTGGATTACTAGTGACCTGAAAACTCTTTTAAATAAGAAAAAGCAAGCTTTTAAGTCTGGGAACAAATCACTGCTGAAGAGTATCCAGCATGAGCTGAGGGACAAGCTGAGGAGGGGCAGAGATTCCTACAGGAAGAAGCTGGAGGCCAAACTCCAGCAGAACAATAGCAGGGATGTCTTTGCTGGGATGAAGGCCATTACTGGCTTCAAAGGGAGAGACAGGCTGACTGTGGGCACCCTGGAGAGGGCCAACGAGCTGAACACCTTCTTCAATAGGTTTAGCTCTCTGCCCGCTGCTGTCCCCTCCACCTCCACTTCACACCTCACCTCCACCCCCCCCTGCCGAGCACACTGGACTTTACCACCTCACCTTTGATGTGCCTACCCTCCACTGAGCCATCAAGCCCCCCCCCCCCCCCCCGCTTCACTGTGAGCACGGGACAGGTCCAGAGACAGATGGAAAAACTCCACCGAGGCTAGGCTGCTGGCCCTGATGGTATCAGCCCCAGTGCCCGCCAGCTGTCTCCTGTTCTCCAACATCTGTTCAACCTGAGCCTGCACCTGGAGACCATCCCGGTGCTGTGGAAGACGTCCTGCATTGTTCCTAAAGACGACTCCTTCTGGGCTCAATGACTATCGCCCAGTAGCACTCACATCTCATGTGATGAAGGTGCTTGAGAGACTGGTCTTGGCCCATCTCAGACCGCAGGTGAGATCATTCCTAGACCCTCTGCAATTTGCCTACCAGCCTCACCTGGGGGTGGACGATGCCATTATTTACCTGCTGCAGCGTGCTCACTCATACCTGGACGGATCGGGTTGCACTGTGAGAATCACCTTTTTTGATTTCTCCAGCGCATTCAACACGATCCAGCCTCGGCTACTGAGTGACAAGCTGCAGGCTATGAGGGTAAACTCGTCCACCATCTCCTGGATTACCAACTACCTCACGGACAGACCACAGTACGTCCGGCTGGGCAGTGTGCTGTCTGATGTGGTGGTAGTACAGGAGCCCGACAGGGGACTGTGCTGTCTCCTTTCCTGTTCACCTTATACACCTCTGACTTTCAATACAACTCAGAGTCATGCCACCTGCAGAAGTTTTCGGATGACTCTGCAGTGGTAGGGTGTATAAGGGATGGACGGGAGGAGGAGTACAGAGCGCTGGTGGGTGATTTTGTAGAGTGGACTGGAGGAAATCATCTGCTTCTGAATGTGGCCAAGACCAGAGAGATGGTCATTGATTTCAGGAGGAAGAGGACGTCTCCTCAGCCCCTGTACATACCCATTAAAAATAGAGAACGCAGAAAAACTTTTCTAAACCACAGAAGTCAACAGTCTAACAGAAAAAAACGTTAACACTCCCTTTAATGTGAGGTTACATCTCTTACGTTGATCTAATGCAGTCTTTATATTACAAAATACTTGTTTTTCTTAACCATAGTCTATGCAGATGATTGTGCTGCATATTATATTTATTTCTGTTACTAAAAGATTAACAGATACTAAACATTTTTAAACAGTTTTTTTAATATGGGTGTCATCATCCAAATTCAATGAATGTGTTTGAGGTTTTTTTAAATACATTTAGGCTATATTAATATGTAGTAGGGGTGGGCGGATCGATCCCAAAATATCGATACTTCCGATATTACGTTACGTTTCAAAATATCGATACTAGAGCCAAAAGATTTAAAAAATACATATTTCAGTATTCTGAGCCCCATTTCTTTTCCTCACGGACGGCAAAAAAAGTCTGACATTATAGAATTAAAAATAAAAACAATAATCGTGGCTTGATATTGAGTAAGAAAATGTTTTTATGAACCACACAGCTTCCGGTAGACGTAGTGCAGGCACGAAACATACTACCAATAGAAATACATTGCTTTTAAAATCATTCTGTGTGACACGAAAAAAAGGGGGAAATAATGTTGCTGGACACGAATCAA